ACTAAATCATCAAATAATTCAGAATTCCAAAATTTTCAAAAAAAATACCTTTAGTACCGATTGGTAACACCAACCGGTACTAAAGGTCCCCCATACCATGACGCGAGCTCACGCCACGTGGTGGGCCTTTAGTGGCAGTTCGTGCCAAACTGGTACTAAAGGGGGGAGGGGAGGGGGGCTTTAGTCTCCACCCTTTAGTGCCGGTTGCAGAACCGGCACTAAAGGCCCTTACGAACCGGTAATAAAGCTCCCTACGGGAGTCTGTTGGCCTTGTAAATTAATTGTTATGATCCGTTCAACTTATATTTAAATGCATCATCTTTCGGTTCAAATTTGATTGAATCTGTGCAAATTTAGTTTTACTCCGCTAACTTTAGGAGATCAGCTAGGTGTGGCGAAATTTTAGTGGACTGTATATATTTCAGTAAGGTATATACTCTGCTAACTTTTAGGGATCAGTTAGAAATGCCCTTACACGTTTGGGGAAACCATTACAGTGGTGTGGGCTAGCAAATCGGATACGTAGTTTGCAGCGGGCTACCCGCGGAGGATTTTGAGACACGTCTTTTCTCTTCACCGTGAGATCGAAAACGAATGGTCTACCACAGCGATAAACCGCTGGAGGGTTTTTGAGGCCGTGATACATATTTACAGTACTACTGTACTTACTGTACATGACTTCATTTGCTGTGGAATGAGCATAACCAGGTCAGGTGATATTCAGAACTGACCTACTCTAGAAGAAAGTTACCATGAGCCAGTAATCTACTCTTACCGGTTATGATCGTGATTATTACTTCCCGCGAAAGGGCCAATCTTATTGTTGCACTTGCACGCTAGTCATGGATGTCATTGTCCTACGTACAGCGGGCATTTGCATGCTTAACCCAGCAGGTGTACAGCAAAAAAATAAACCCTGGAGTAGAAAAGACCGCGTTGCTGCACCATGGGCCCATGGCCAACACAAGACAACTTATTTACCAAAGCTAGTGAAGTTAAAATCTTTATCAACCGAAGCTGCTCTGCTACAAATGGAAGCCACATCGATCAAGTTGCAAACAACCAACCTGTGGGGCACTTGCTAGTTGGCGAGTCGAGGACAGGCTACCAGGGGGACGGCGGTGGCGGGATCCTGTCGTCTAGCAGGAGGCAGAGGAGCACCGGCGGCGGCGGCCGACGTCCGTCCGTGTGGCAGCAGAGGAAGGCCTGCGGGCAGCGGCGGGCGGAGGCCCGCTCCCGCGTTCTTGGGGCAGCAGGAGGAGGACGGCGGGTGGCTGCGGCGCTCGCGCTTGATCGCAGACAAAGAGCAATACAAGGAAGATTGTTTCTTTGTATACAAGAGCAAGGCATGCGCCTACGGTATGTGTACTCTTGATGACCGTGAAGGAAGGCAAGAATCTTATTCTCTAGTTGATGAGCTGACACGCATCGGATAAGACAGTACGTACTTGCCAAGTTTCGGCAGATCAAAAGTTTACTTATGTTCAGAAGAGTCGACAGGTGGGGTGACATTGGCAGATCCCACTGGTCTGGTCTGTTAATTTACACCAGTGTTCATACAGAGCTCCAACTGGAATCCAGACCCACTACAAGGGAAGGATGGCATTCGTCTTTTCTCTCGGAAGAAAAGGTGGCCATGGCTTGACCATGAAGCTAGCTGGTGCTTGGAGCCTCCTAGAAAGACAGAGAAGAAGAATATATCCTATACATGAAGCATCCCAAAGGAACACATAGTATGGTATTTTCATCGAAAATTAACATGGTACTGTTGTGACTGAGTTGTACCTGGAGTCTGTGATATGGTGATACCGCTTTTGATCAATGAGGGAAAACCTGAATGCGATACTGAAAGTGGTATCAAGGGACAGAGACTGAAGATTGCATGTGCACAGCTTACAGAGGGAAGGCACTGCATTATTCAGGTGCACATCAGAAGTTTCAAATGAACTCTGATCCCTTCTTCTCTTTCCAAGATAACTTCTCGAGTTCCTGTTCGGAATGTCCCAAAACATGCTCACATCTCTCATGTTTGTTAGGAGACCAAATTCCTGGAAGAAGCCAGTTGGCTGCTCAAATAAACTAATTACTTTCAGCTCTTCTAATCCTTGCATGTTCCCAGTTCCATCCGGTAGCTTAACCCCTCTATTTATCAACAGATGCACCAAGTGCCGAAGTCGAGCGATGGTTGCTGGCAATTCAGTTATGAACGTGCCTTCGAGGTTCAGTGTCTCTAGATCCCGCAGTTCGCCGATTTGTTCCGGGAGCTCAGTAATAAGTGTGTTTCTGAGGCTAAGGTACTTGAGTTGAAATGAGCTAGATATGTTGTTAAGATAGCCTGCTAACATGTGGCAGCCTTCCAAGTCCAAAACCCGCACAAATCTGGATTTAAACAGAGAAGGGATTCGCATCGAACGCCCAAAAACAGTAAGAGATCGAACATGAGAATAAATCAAGTTTGGTCGTAGGATATCTCCATTGCTTTTTTTCTTTTTGAGATTATGTGGCCTAACAGTAATCTCAAAAAGAACATCTTCATTGCTCTTGTGCTGGAGAGATAATCGACGAACCTTGTTATGTAGCCTACCAGTAAGCTCTGGAACACCAAGTAGGGTGACAAAGTTCTCTTCAACAGACTTGTACACTATGAAATCAAGGATTGTGTCATGAACTCGGCATACTGTCACCTCCCTGTACCTATTTATATGCCATGGTTGGATCAGGCTCCTGTTGATCAGCTCATTGAAGCACCTCTCCCCCAGTTCATACGTAGTGTGCCCGCTCCTTCCTTGAATAAATCCCTCTGCCTGCGATCCATCTTCTTATCAGACGGCTCTTCTCAATGGGATAATCCTCTGGGAATATACTTGGATACAATAGACAAGTTTTCAGATCGTGATGGAGGTCAAAGTAACTAAGGGATAGTATCTTTATCATTCTTTCAACACTTGGATATCTTTGATGTGCACAACCAATGGAACTTTGCACTTGGGCCCATTGAACCACGGTCTGAGCTTTGTTCGCCAGTAGGCCAGAAATGGTAATAATCGCCAGCGGCAAACCGCCGCATTTCTTCAATATATCATCACAAATTCTGT